CGAGGAGCCGCACGCGCCGCGCAGTCCGGGTCAGGTAAGAGTCTTTGGGCTAGGGGCGCTGGGTCCCCGCAGTGTTGGGGCGCAAGGAGGTGGTGGCCGAGTTGCGCGCTGTTTGCTCCGGGAGTAGGTTGGGTCCAGCCGGTGGCGCGGGACTGAGCACATCGCGAAGGCCAGGCGCCATCAAGGCAGCTCCAGGAGTTCGTTCCTGCGCCCAGCGCACAATCACAACTGCCATCGTCAGGCGCTACCTAACCGGTGGACCCACGCCATGCTTTAGCCCTGAGCACCCTAAGAGGGCAAGAGTTTCGGGGGTGCTGGCCCCAGCCCTGCGAAGGGCACAGCCCTGGACGCCCTTCGCAGCCCCTCGTGGTGGCGCGGACCGCTGGGGACCTCTGGGAGAAAGGGCAAGCGAGAGGGCCGCCCGCCGCTCCCCGCAGCACCCAGGAATGGGGGCCCCAGAACGAGCGGAAGCGCTGGCCCCTCTGCACGCGCGGGGACTTCGGCCTAAGCTTCGCGTCAAGAGGGTATTTTTCCTAAACGAAACCGCTTCATTCGTTCGTTCGTTCGTTTGTTCGGGCAGCTGTGCCGCAGGAAAGCAACAGACGTCGGCCCGAGGCCCGGCTGTCTTCGCCGCGCACCCCGACGTCCCGCCGCAGTGCTTGGAGGCGCCCCCCAGCCCAAAGCGGCCTGCCGGAGCCGCCACCGGTCAGGCTTTTCCTTACCCTGAGAGAAACCCCAAATGCTCTTCGCAAAATCCAATAAAGACATTCCCGCAGCTTCTCCAGGGTTTGGTTGTTGACTCTGGGTTCCGGAGCACACAGCTGCTTCTCTAGAACCGGGTCTCGGAATTCTGAAATTGACCAGCTTCCTAAATCTCAGCCGATTCCACCGTGGTTAAGCGAGGGCCCAGTGGCCAGGATCGCAGAAATGGGAACCCCAGGCCAGAATCCTGGTTCCAAGGTTTTCCGATTTAGGAACTCCCTTAATCAAAATATTTGAATCCACTTTTCTGAGAAACCAAGGCTCAGGCATTCTCTTGGCAGCCCAGTGGCCTCTGACAGCCACCAGGGCCAGAGGGAGGCAACCCCAGGTTGCTGTCCACTTGGCAGAGGCTACAGGTCTAGCGTAATGACAAAAGCTACAGGCAGCAGGGGCAGCAGAGGAGGCGGACTTGCTGGCCTCCTGCCTTTTCCTCAGACTGCTTTCGAACTCCTCACCTCTGCTCAGAAAAGGAAAAGAAGTGGACTGGGGCATACAGACCCGGCTGCCTGGACGCTAGGATATAGAGGTGGCTTTTGTTGACCTTCAGGCCAGGTTCAGGGTGCCCTTCTATCAGGAAAGCAGCTGCTGGAAAGAGGAGGCTCTGTACAGCAGAAGCTGACCCTCTGCTTCCCAGTTGTGTGACCAGCCATTGCCACTTTCCTAGCCTTCTCTTCCCCTGGCTCAGCCATTCTCAGGAACTAACTGTACAGCGACCAGCGGGCTCCGGTGAGCCATGAGCCTGGAGAGCGATGGGCCCTACCAGCTGCTTACGGAGAGTTCTGAGTTTCATGCTCCCATCAGCACCCCACTGAGCCATACTGCCTGAATACATCTCAGCTCTTCCCACCAGGACAGGCTGGGGAACCCCCGACTGAAAGGAAGTCACAGGCTGGGGACCTAAAAGCCTAAAGGATCCAGTGAGATCATTCCCAGCCCCTACCTGAGCACCCCTTTCCCCATCACTCAGAGATTGCTTGCAGTCAAAGAAACAAGAGTTTTTATTGGGGAGGGGGTGTTAGATCTGGCAGAGGAGGTAGGTGGTCCGGGCTGCACTCCCAAAACTGGGTTTTCTAGTTTGAACTTCTCCACGGCCTAAGAGGCTTAGGGCTGGAATGTCCCAGAGAGTCATGGATGGCCCCTGGGGCAAGCCATGGCACATTCCTTTCCTTCTCCTAAAATCCCTTGATTCTGGTGCAAAGATTAGGACAAGGTACCTCTGTGAGCGGGTGGAAGGATGCCCTCCATGAGGACTCTCCAACCACCCTTCCCAAATAAAATTACTAAGCCATTCTTGGGCACAGAGTCTGTTTTCTGTAAGCCCAGTCTCAGGAAGAGCCCCTATGGTGATTATTTCAACCGGACAACAGCCCAGGCTTCTCTGCTGAGCCCAGCCAGGACTCTAAGCCCCAAATTTCCTGAAAGTCACAGAATCATTGCTAGCTCTGTGTGGCCTGGAGGGATGGGGCACATGGTTCCAGCTCCAGTAAGCCCCCTTCCCTTCTCTCTTCATGTCACATCATCAGGTGAGGTGGAGGCTGAAGCAGCAGTCAGGGATCGCTGTGTCCCACGTCAGACATGGGAACTGGCACACAGTGCAGGTCAAGCCTTGTCTAAGGTCAGACAGCAAAGCCAGGGGAACATTGAACCCCTGCTCTTACTCCTGAAAGACAGCTGCCTCCTGTCTCGTGTGCGTGTGTGTGTGTGTGTGTGTGTGTGTGTGTGTGTGTCTGTGGTGTGTGATATGAGTGTGCAAGAAGCCCCTACTCTGCCTGGGATAGCAGCCAGCGGAGCGAGTGGCTGAGGAAGAAAAGAAAGCGCCCAGGTCCCGTCCCCAGCCAACATCCCAGAATCAGGCCAGGGCCTCCTCTAGATCAATCACTTCCTCACCCCTGCTCATTCAGCACTGCCCAGGTCTAGCAGAAAAGACTCTCCTGGGCAGCCCCCACTAGTCTCAGCCCCTCTCTAGGGCTCAGGGCCCCTGGGATATGGAGCTTCACCAGCAATAGTCTGAGCACCTTTCCATCCACACAGCAGGCATTAAGATTTCCAAACATAGGGATTATTGTGACTGCCTGGAGCACTGCCAGAGGCTTGGATCCAGAGGGGCACACAGCAGGTGCTCAATCACTGCATTAAATGCATCAACAGTGAGATACAAGCCCCGCAGACTGAATAGCTAGAGCTGCAGAGTCACAAAACAGTCCCCATCCACGGAACGCCTGACTCTTTAGCCCCTTTGGGGAGTCACAGCCCCTTTGGGAGGCCTGTGACCCTCAGCCCCTGGATGCCCATAGGCAGACCATTCATTCCATGCCCCCATCCAGAGGGGCACTGTGTTTCCCACCTTGGCCCGACACTTGGGGGGCTTAGAACACACCCCTGTCAGCCAGATTTTGTACCAAATAGCATCAGTGTTCTGGGACCCAGAGGCCTGGCTGTGTGTACCCATACGTGACTGTACTCGGCAGTCCCCTGTGTGGGCGCAGTATGTGTGTGTCTGTGTGTGCACAGCACACCTGTATGGGTATGCAGTACGTATGAGTACAGGCATGCTTTTGTGACCTGTCTGTATCCAGGCAGCGTGGGTGGCACACTGTCCAGTCGGGGTAAGGTGGCTAAACGGAAGATGGAGTGTGAAGGGGCACTCCCTGGCATGCTGCAGCACCTGAATACCTCCTTGAAAGGAGGTATCTGCTGCTTCAGGAGATTCAGCTAAAAAATGTGGTAAAAGATGGGGCTGAGGACAAATGCTAGGAAACCATACCCCCCGTGTACCCCTCCCACCATCCCCGTACACACCAAGTCTGTTTTCACCCTGGGGGTCTCAACTTGGAGAAACTTCCCTTTGGGAGGAAAAGGCTGGAGTTACTGAGGTCCTCCCCCAACCCAAACTCCTGGGATGCATCCTCCCCCTGGCCCCAGCCTCAGACCTTGGCCCCTGTGGCCTCAGGCACCCAGTGAGAGTGGGCCAGCCCTAAGGAACTGTGCCTTTTCCCCAGGGCCCAGAGCTGGGGGCCTTGGGCTGAGGCCAAGGGAGCAAGAGGCAGGCCTGGTTCCACCCTGCCCATGCCCCTGCCCTCATAATCCTTACCAAGGAGCTCAGCCTGGGGCGGGGGTGCCTTCCTCTGATAGGGAGCCAGGTGAGGGCAGGGACTGAAGAGGGTCCCAGACCCTGACAGCCTGCACAGTCAATCCCAAGCAGAGACCCCAGGAGGACATGAGGATGCACTAGGCCCCAGGGTGAGATACTGGGCCTGGAGATTACCACGGTGTTTCCCCCCGAGGCCGCTGTCCTGCCCAGTGCCGCTTCTGTCTGGTGGAGCAGACAAATGAGGGGCAGAGGGCAGCCTGGGGTCCAGCTGTGGCTAGAGGAACAGGTCAGGGTCGCGCCCTACCACCCGAGCTGTCACCTATTTGCTCAGGACTCTGATGTCTCAAGACCAGTTAAGCAAAATCCTTCAACAAACTTTACTGAAGTAGGAGGATTCTACGAGGGACTCATTCTTAGGGGTGGGAAGGGGAATGTCTTTGCCTGTGCTCATAGAGTGCCCACTGGTGCTGCAGCTTAGCTACCACTGTGTGGGAGAGAAGCTCAAAGACCATCCTAGGCTTCCTGGGCTGCTGGCCTAGGCTTGAAAACTGCAGTCACCTGGCCTGCCAGGCCTGTGCCTGAAGCTCTGGGAAGCCACAGTGAGGCCCCAGGCCCTGCGAACGTGCCCTGAAGGGGGCAGAGCCCCATCCTGTGGCAACCGAGGCCGGGGCCTGGCGGATTTGGTCAGACCATTGAAGGTGCAAAACAAGGGGAGACAGCCCTACCGAAGAGGCTCTGGGGCCTGGCAGGGCTCTTGGGGTCTCCTGCTGCACTCGCCAGCGGCCTGGAGCCAACAGAAACGCTTCATCTGATTAGAAGCCATCAGTTCTATCCCAATCCCGGAAAATTGACTGCGGTGCAGAGGGGGAGGCCTGAGAAGAAGCCTTGGGGGAGAGGGTCCAAGCTAATTAGGAGGCAGCATCCGGGGGCCCATTAGAGCGCAGGCTGCTGTCACTCAGCCTGGCTCAGGTCCCCGGGAGACGAGGCCGGGTAAGGAGGGGCCGCGGCCCCTCGACGAGGACACCGCTGGGAGCTGCCAGAACGAGCCCCGGGCTCTGCCCCCACCCTGGCGCTGGCTCGCAGGCGCCCGGTCGGTGCGATCCTCCTTGGTGAACATTCACTCATCCTGGGCTGTTCTTGCCGGGGGCTCGGGTCTTCGAGGCGGCCCAGACAGGAGTTGATTCTGAGCGAAACAAGTCATTTGGGGCTTGAGGTGGGCACGAGCCGCGCGGGACTTGCAGGCCAGATGCGTTTCTTTTGTGCGGCCGCGGGAGAACTCAGTGTGTCACCGGGGAAGGAGGGTGAGGCGCGGCGAGGCCGCGGGAGGGGGGAGGCGGCGGGAAGGTGGCTGCGGAGGGGGAGGGCGCAGGCGAGGCAGTGAGGGAGGGAAGGAGGGAGGGCGGCAGAGAGGGCGCGGCTGCGCGGGCGGCTCGCGGCTGGATTCCGCCCGCGCTCCCTCGCTCGCTCGTTCGCTCCCTCCTTCCCTCCCAGCCCCCTCCCACCCAGGCCCACCCCACCCACCACCCCTGGCGCAGGGACTGCTGGAACCTGGCGTGCGCGCTGTCGCTTTAAGACAGACTCTGCCGGCGCCGTCCGGAGCCTTAGAAACCGGCCCCGGATCGGGAGCCGAAACCGGGGCCGGGCGGGCGGCTGAGGCACGAGCGGCGGGAGGGCAGCGCGGAGCGCGAAGCCGGGCTCCCGGTCGCGGGAAACCGCTGCCGCTGCCGCCCGCCTGGCCCCGCAGCCCCGGGCGGTCCATGGGGCGGGCGCGGCGTCGTTTCGGGCGCGGGCAGCCCTGGGGGGCGGCCGCTTAGGCGCTGCGCTCTTGTCCTCACAGGTCGTAGCCAGGGCTGCCGGGCGCGCCCAGCTCCGGCCCCTGGAGCGCCCGCCGCGGTCCCCGCCTCCATGGACGCCTTCAAGGGGGGCATGAGCCTGGAGCGGCTGCCGGAGGGGCTCCGGCCGCCGCCGCCGCACGACATGGGGCCCGCCTTCCACCTAGCCCGCGCCGCCGACCCCCGCGAGCCGCTCGAGAACTCCGCCAGCGAGTCGTCGGACACGGAGCTGCCAGGTAAAAGCGGCTCCCCGCGAGGCGCGCACGGAGCCTACCAGGGCGCAGGGTGCAGGGTGCAGGGAGCCGGGAGCAGGGCCTGGCGCCCGCTCCGCACAGTCACGCTCGCTCTACGCCCCAGGAAGCCTCAGGACCTTTTCCTTTTCCCATTCTCCACCTGACGGTGAACGCGGACAAGTAGGCGCTTTATGAAGCGGAAATTTAGTGCTTTTCGAAGGCACTTCTACGCGGTGCCCACGCGCCAAGGGACCTGCGGATGCACGAACCTACAACCGGAGGGTCGGAATGGCAGCCCCTCTTGATCGGGGGCAAATAGAACGGGGAGAAAAGTTAGGCTTTTTGCGCAAGTGGTTGTCGAAGGGCCGCTTGGACCGAAGGAGAGGCGCAGATCAGAAAGGAATGGGCGGCGGGCGAGAGAAAGTGCCCAGAGAGAGAGAGTACCGACACCCCGACAGACTGTGGGCGACTGACTGAGAGGGAGAGACCTAAGAGAAGGTGGCGGGAAAAGTCGGAAAAGCAAACTGGCGCGGGGGGGTGGGGGGAGAAAAACAACCTTAAGTAAAGGGAAAAGAGGACAGCGAGGGCGAGTGGGCCAAGAGGGGCGACCCGGCTCCGGTCACAACCGCCTAAAAGAGGGATCCGTGCCCCACGTGCTCCGCCAGAGCCCGGAGACGCCAGGCCGCGGGTCCGGGGCTCCGACTCTGCTCAGCCAAGTCTCCTTCCGCGCTGCCTTTTTGCCCGAGCTCAAGCTTTTTTCCCCGCGCCAGCTACTGGGCCGGCGGGTGGGCGGCGCGGGCAGTGATGAGGCCAATACCCGGCCCTGCCCGGGCTCCAGGGTCTCCGAACGGCTCCTGCGCTCGCGGTCCTAGTTCGGCGACGCCGCCGAGCTCCCCACTCCCCCGGCCGTGGGCGCCTCTTCTGCGTTCATTTCTTAATCCACCGCTGAGTGTTTCTCTACGAGTTTTTAATCTCTATTTATTTCTGTTTTGCATCCCTAAGTGACTTTCTCTGAGAGGTTCTGTTTGCTTGGTTAAAAAAACAATCAACGCTAGATGGTACTTCTGTTTTCAAAAGTTTTAACCGTGGCCTTTGGTTGGTTTTTATTTTTAAAACCCAGAGAAATACATAGTCACAGATTGCTTTAAAAAACCAAGTCTATGAGAATATTTTTTTAAAAATTAACTGTATTTTTCGTTATAGAAAGAACTGCTATACTAGATATATTTCTCTGGAATTTAAAATATCTACATGCAACATTATTCTTCGGGAGATTTTAAAAAGTCAATCCAAAATGGCGCTTTTCTCCGGGATTTTCTCAAAATCCGTTTACAGTGATGTTATTTGGGGAATTTAAGTTATCTAACTATAGTGTTGCATTTCCCTGGGATTTAAAAATTATTTCTAGAAGGGCATTATTGGGAAGGGGTTAAAAAAAATCCATCTACAACAGTACATTGATTTTTTTTAAATCCCAGATAAATAAATGCCTGTGTCTGCCTGGAGTTTATACACTTAACAGCACTGTATTTAGTTAGGGGTGTGTTTGCACGGAGGTTTCTGGCTTCTTAATCTGCATTTGCTGTGTTTCTACCTGCCTATTTTTAAGAATTTGTGACCCTTTCTATGTTTTTAGGCATAGAGCTGTGAGCTTTTCTGGGCTTCTGTGTTTTGTTTTTAAATTCTTTTTCTTTATGTTTCAATGTTTCTATAAGTGCATGTTGTTTGTGTAGCTTCAAAGAGAGAGAGAGGCTAGAGCCCCCAGGTCACCTAGACAGAGTCTGTGGGTCTGGGCTGCCTGGCTGCTGCCAGAGGGATTTTCTGTACCTTGGGACTTGAGGCCTGGAGCTAAGGCCGAGAACCCGGCTGTGTTGTGCCTGCCCGGTGGGGCTCCCACACGGCCCTGGGGAGAAGAAATTGGAGGGGCTGCAGGCCACTGCCTGGCTCTTGCTCCACCCACCCCCCAGCTTCAGGCTAGAAAGATTTGATCCTAGTTCAGAAAAGCAGAGATCCCCTCTGATTTAGAACCCCAAGAGCCCTAAAAAATGTACATTTTCGGGTGACATCAACAGCAGAGCTCCAGCATGAGCCGAGCTGTGAGAGCAGGCCCTGCGCAGCTAGGAACCTAGGCCCACGTCTCCGGCTCCTGGGCTCTTCTCCCAGACGAGCCTGATCAGAGGTGACTACTGCCTACCCTACCCGCCACAGGCGGGCTCTTTCCAATGGGTACAATTCCAGGGGCCCTGGCGGGAGGGCGGGCCCCACCAGGGCTGACCACGGGCGCTTCGGTGGAGCCGGGATGGGGTGCAAAAGGGCATAAGCCCGAGGTGACTGGCGCCCTGTCCTGCCTGCTTCAGAGAAGGAGCGCAGCGGGGAGCCCAAGGGGCCCGAGGACAGCAGCGCGGGCGGCGCAGGCTGCGGCGGTGTGGAGGACCCCGCCAAGAAGAAGAAGCAGCGGCGGCAACGCACGCACTTCACAAGCCAGCAACTGCAGGAGCTGGAGGCCACGTTCCAGAGGAACCGCTACCCGGACATGAGCATGCGGGAGGAGATCGCCGTGTGGACCAACCTCACCGAGCCACGCGTGAGGGTGAGCGGGGGGTGCGCGCCTAAGGGGACCCGCGCAGAAGGCTGCCAGCCGGCCCAGCGCAGCCCTTGAAAGCTTAGACCCGCGCTCAGACTATCACTCCTTCCCACACTCAGACCTGCTCCCTCCCTCCACCGGAGGCCATTCCACCTTAGGCCCCGGTCTACGCAGCTGCTGCAGAGCCGTTTGGTGCTAGCACCCCTCGGCTGCTGCCGCCTCGGATCCCTCTGACCCGCATCCTACCTGACCCTCGGGCTCTACCGCAGCCCCCGCCCAAAGACCTGTGTCCCCAAGGGACGTTCCCCTGCCCTGCAGAGCCCAGAACCCGCTCGGCTGTTACCCCCTAGACTGAGCAGAGGATTCCCCGCTGCTGGGGACCTCCGAGCCGCTGGCACCTTCCCGCGAAAACGAAAGGGAAAGGCAGATCCTGCCTGGCAGCCTGAGAGAGGTCTGATTAGAGTGTAGGCTTGGAGGGGGGGTCCTCAAAACTTCCTAGGGCAGTGGTCCCACCCGTACTCTGCTTCTCCAAAATCCCAGGATATTCTCCACCTGACTCTCAGCCATTCGGCCAGTCTGTAGCTGAACCCTTTCCCTAATGCACTTTCCCGTAGGGCTGGGTTCAGGTGAGGAGGGGGCAGCTCTGGTGGATGAGTGAGCCTCAGGCCGAATCCCTTTGCAGACGTAAGGTCTCCAACTCAAGACAGGACTGCACCCTCCCTCTTCTCACCCCTTGGTTCCCAGTGAAAACATGGCTGTCCTGCCAGAGCAGCAAGAGAATCACTTCTTCTCTGGGTACTACAAATATTTAATCAGATATTGGGAGCACGTTCCAAGCTAAACCAAAGTCCCACCTGGGCCACAGACTCCCTGCTATAACCCCAGCTCTCACCCCTCCCCAGTCAGGCTGGCCAGCCCAGTGGGATAGAGAGTGAAGACAGCACTCAGTAACCCTGAACTCACTAAGCCTACGGGTGGGGTGGGGTGGGGTGGGGTGGGGGTGGAATCAGGCAATGTTAGTGCTGGGGATGGAGAAGGCTGAGATGCAGGGGTCTGGCAAGAGAGGTCGGGATACAGCCCGGGGCTGGTCGAGGGCTGCGGAGGGCAAAGGACTGGGACTAGATGAGGATCCGCAAGCACTGGGAGTTGGGAAAGAAGAGGTTCTAACGGAATTTTGTGAGGAAAAGTGGAGGGGGAGCGTAGACAGAAACTAGTAGGAAGTGAAAGGAAATTAAATATTTGCAGAAAAACATATTTGGCATATATTTAGGTAGCAGGAAAGAAATTAAGTATTTAAGGGAGAAGCAAAAGGACCAAGTATTTGAGAAGACTAAAGAATCAACCATTTAAGAGAAACAGTGAAGATCAGATATTTGGAAAGAAGAAAAAAACTAAATATTTGCAGAAGAATCAAAAGGATCAAAAATGGGGGATAACGAAGAAAAATGGACTGTTTGAGGGAGAAGAAAGTGGTTCAGACAGTGGGGTGGACGGAACGAAAATAAACATTTGAGGCAGAAATGATAATATCAAATATTACCAATAAAGATGGAAACAGACTATCTGAGGAATGAAAAATAGACTGAAGAATGAGAGGAGTCGTAAGGTCCTATATTTCAGGAAAGAAAACTACCTTTTGTATTCGAGGAAGAAGAAAACGGATTGAGTATTTAGGAGGTAGATGGGGAACCGTTTGCGGGAGAAGGCAGAAGATGACCTAGTTGAGAGAGGAAGAAAGAAAACAAATATTTGTTTAAAAAAAAAAAAAAAAGAGGATCCGTATTAGGAGAAGAAACCGGATTTAATGAGGGGAAGAGGATAAAGATCAGAAAAAGGAAAAGACTAATATTTTCTGGAGCCAGGAAGGGAACCATTATGGAGAGAAGGCAGGGGTGGAAATACCGAAGAAAGAAACGTATTCGGAGAGAAGGGAGCGGGCGGAGGCCTCGGGTGGGGCGGGGGAGGTGGAGGCGTCTTCCCGCCCTCGGCAGCCCTGACCTTTCTCCTGTCTCCCTCCCCTAGGTCTGGTTCAAGAACCGGCGAGCCAAGTGGCGGAAGCGCGAGCGTAACCAGCAGCTGGACCTGTGCAAGGGAGGCTACGTGCCGCAATTCAGTGGCTTGGTGCAGCCCTACGAGGACGTGTACGCCGCTGGCTACTCCTACAACAACTGGGCCGCTAAGAGCCTGGCACCAGCGCCGCTCTCCACCAAGAGCTTCACCTTCTTCAACTCCATGAGCCCGCTGTCGTCGCAGTCCATGTTCTCGGCCCCCAGCTCCATCTCCTCCATGACCATGCCGTCGAGCATGGGCCCGGGCGCTGTGCCTGGCATGCCCAACTCGGGCCTCAACAACATCAACAACCTCCCCGGCTCCTCGCTTAACTCGGCCATGTCACCGGGCGGCTGCCCGTACGGCACACCCGCCTCGCCCTACAGCGTCTACCGGGACACGTGCAACTCGAGCCTAGCCAGCCTGCGGCTCAAGTCCAAGCAGCACTCGTCGTTCGGCTACGGCGGCCTGCAGGGCCCGGCCTCGGGCCTCAATGCGTGCCAGTACAACAGCTGACCGCCCAGCCAGGCCACGCGGGCCGGCGGCCGGCGGCCGGCACAGCGCCGGGGCCGGGACCGGGTCGGGTGCGGGCGCGGAGGACCTGGCGCCTGCGCTGCCCTCTGCTCCCCACCTCCCCACCTCCGGCTTGGTTTTGTGTTTGCTTTCCTGGACCCCACTCTGCCCTCCAAAACGAGACAAAGCAAAACGACGTCGGAGAAAAGTGCCGCGGAAAAACGGATGAGTTGCAATTTTCCTCGGGATGGCGCGGGTGGTGCGTGCTCGCTCGCTCGCTTGGGGCCCGGTGGGCCACTCTGCGGAGGGGACGCGGCGCGGGAGGCGAGCGCCGAGGCCGGCGGCCGGGGAGGAGACGCCCCGTAGCCCGCGTTCCCGCCTGCGAACTGGAGCGCGGACCGCCGGCAAGCCTGGGCCCCGGCCAGGTGCGAACCAAGACGCCCCCTCCGAGCTAGGCCCGGCCGAGCATACCTTAGCTCGATCCGGATCCAAGTTGGAGCGGGCGTTGGGCCAGGGATGACGGTACCCAGTCCAGGGTCGGGATCTCGCCGTGGAGCCGAACTAATGGCCCCGGCGCGCCTCGAAGAGCCCTTGCCTGCCCCGCAGGATTACTTTAAGGCCAACGAGCCGCAGCTGGCGGTGCGGACGAGGCGGGAGCATGCGGAGTGCTCGTCTCGGAGCATCGCAGCCCCCAAGCTTCGCCGCAAGCCCAGGCCCTCCCCTCAGCTCCCGGCTAGAAGGTGGCCCGCCTGTCCGGCGAGGAGCCGCCTCCTCACCGCCCGCCGTGCAAGAGTCGAGCCGGGAGAGCTCGGGGAGCGGCCAGGGCCCCACGCCGTGCCCACTTTGCACACCCGCTCTCCAGCCCGCGCCCCAGTTTACAGCGTCCTTGTGTATGTCGGACTGACTGTATAGAATTATAAATCTGTCTATATCGACTTGTCCATGTACATCTATTAAAACCATAGTACGAGCGTGCTAACCACTGCCGAGCCCTGACTGCTTCATTCGGTCTTGGAGAGAAGGCGGGTAGAAAGGGAACTGCACTCCCGTGGGCCCTGCGAGTAGGAGAAAAGAGCCGAAGCCGACCCTGCCAGAGGACCCTACGCCCACTTCCCCACCACCATTCCAGACCAGTTCAACCCGGCTCCCTTGAGGGCGCAGCCCAGCGCTCCGAGCTCCCTTTCCGCGCGCGCGCGGGCGCGGGCGCGCGCCCGATACTCATCGGCGGTGCGGCTCAGCCTCCCGGCGCCGCGCGCGGGCCGCTGTAGCCTGGACCACCCGCCCTACCCGACCGCCGGATTCTGCAGGCTCTTCCCAGACTGGGTCTGCAGTGACCCTCCAGGCTTTTAGGGTGCTTCGCGGCCTTTGTCTGCTGGGAGCTTGGCGGTAGGAGCCGCTGAGAGCCTCTTTAGACCTGGGGTTGCCTGTTCTCCTATAGGCCCGGTGCCCCCACCTTGAGCCCTGCTCTGGTTGTTCTAGGAGGACCGAGGGTGCTGGATCCGCCAGAGTCGCGCCAGGGCCTCCACATCGAAATCCCACCCAGGGGCATATGGCTGTTCCCGTGAAAGTGTCCATCACACAGAACTCACTTCTCACTTACCTTACATCCCAAGTTATCGGTCGCTCCCGCCGCCACCTCCCCCTACTTTTGGAAACTACTGAATAAGACCAGCCTGTAAACTGCCTGTAAAATTCTGCTTCCCTTAAGTAAGTCACTTCTAATGGCAAAACAAAATGTCTGCAGCTGTAGCGGGGGAGGAAGGAGGGGTTGGTATTCTGCTTTAGAATCACCTTGTGATTGTCACTGCCCTGGAGCTGGACCCAGGCAAGCGCTAGATGGGAGTGGGGCACAGCCGTGGGCTTAGTCATGAGCTAATAGCTGGAGAACCCTGTGCACACATTCCTAAACCAGGTCAACACTGCTTCTGAGGTCAGGAGTGTTGTCCCTATTATACAGATGATGGAACCAAGGCTCCATCACACTATGCACTGGGCCAAGGTCACACGGATTCCAAAGCCAGGCATCTTTCCACTGGTCTTCTCACCTTCAGATGAGGAGTGAGGAGGGGTCCTTGCTGGAGGATGGCTCAGCCTGATGCTGTAGGACTTGGAGTGAAGGGTTCTGAGAAGGACCGGGCCAGATACACAGGCTGGAGGAGGGAGGAGGGGGGAGGGAAGGTTGGGGCACGGGGCTGGAGCCCGACCACCCCTCCCCCAACGGCTGCAGTCCAGAGCTCCGACCCCTCACTCTCTGGAAACATAAACACAATCACATCTGGACTCAGAGTGCCTCCCCCAGCTCACACATCTGCCAAGGCCAGGGGGCCCTGGTCTCAGCTGAGAGCAGGAGGCAGGGGAGACCTAGAAGGAGGTGGGACTGGAGAGAAGTGGGAGGCAGAGAGGCCTCTGAAAGGCCCGGTCTCAGGTGAGAGGAGGGCTGGAGAAGAGCTCTGGTAGAGACTTAGTGTGGAGGTGGGGCCACAGGCCAAACAGCTGCAGCCAGGAGGAAAGGCAGAAGCAGTCCAGAATGACCCCATCATCCGTCAAGGACCACGGCCAGCAAGGTGAGTGCAGGACCCAGCCTTGGCCCCCCCCCCCCCCCCCCCCCCCCCCCCCCCCCCCCCCCCCCCCCCCCCCCCCCCCCCCCCCCCCCCCCCCCCCCCCCCCCCCCCCCGTCTATTCTGTGCCTGCAGATAGTACCCAGCCCTCCCCAGCTACACCAACTGCAGGGTCATCTCTGGAGGGGGGATGAGGAACACACGGGGTTCTGAAAGGCAAGTCCTCTGGAAAAGGCAGAAAGTTCTAGTCCTGCTCTGCCTGAAGAAGACTGGGGAGGCCTCATTTACTGCGCTTCTGCCCTTGGTGCTGGGGATGGAGAAGTGGGAAACAGACACAGCCCCTGCTCTCATGGACAAGTAAACAAACACGTATAATTACAAACTGGGCTGAGTGCTTTTGAAGAAAAAGAACATGGTGCTGTGAGTAAGAAAAAATGAAAGTCCTGCTTCAAACAGGATAGTCAGGCAAGGCTGTTTCGGGGGGAGGTGGCGCCATCTCCGTCTTCAGTGGCAAGCGGTATCATATACCGAGCCCATTCAGGGTCCAGGGCCCTCTGCTAAGTGCACGCTTCTCATAGATGAGCCCCTTTTACCTGCACCGCAGCCCTATGAGACGATCCTCATTATCCCCTTTCCCTGATGAGGCCCCTGAGGCTTAAAGAAGCCACACAGCAGGAAGTGATGGAATGGATTCAAACCCAGTCACTCTCTACCTTCCACACTGGGCTGCCCCATGCCAAGCACCGTGGGCAACATGGCAGGGGAGGGTGTCTGACCTTGAAGAGATCATAATTTCTGCTGGCCACACAGGACTGGCCCGCAGGAAATAGAAAAGCAGATTTGTTCTTACTTGGTACTGACAAAGTGACCCCCAAAGGGCTGCTGCAGATTTAGAGGGGCCATGAATTAGGGACAAGAGGGCAAGAGGTTGGTGCCCAGCACTGGTTTGCAGGCACTGTGGGCACCAAAGGAGAATGGGGTGAGCCACCGTGTGCAGCCCCTGTAGTGCCTGGTCATTGAGGGAGAGGAGCCAAGTCACCTCCCCTAGCTTCATGGCCCTCCCTCTGGGCCACCAGAGTCACCTGGAGGGGGAGGGGGAAATCACAGCTGGAAAAGCTGCCTCGCAGAGGGGCATTGCCTGGGGAGTCCAAGCCCTAGAGGTGGCTCTGGGTGGCCCTTCAGCTCCACATGCCTCAGCCTGCTGCTGCCCCAGGAAATAGCAGCGGGACCAGTCACCAAGAGGTCCAGTCTGGGAAATGAGAGTAAGGGTGGTTTTCTGCCCAGGGACCTCCCCATTTCCTGGGCCAGTTACTTGGCTCTGGCATCCGCAGGAACTTTTGCTGTGGTCTTTGAGCGCAAGAGTTTGAGTTCTGGCGCTACCTCTGAGTTGCCCTGGACAAGAGGCTTAATTAAGGTCTCTGGGCCTGTTTCCTCTTCAGTAAAACGGAATAACGACAATCACTTCACACAGCTGTCTAAAGGATTAAATGAGATAATGCACATAAAGTGCTGGCATATAGTAAGTGCTCAGTAAATTGTTATTGATGTTGGAATTGTTATTGTTGATGTTATTATTATTAAAGTGAGATGTCCTGCCTCTCCTCTTGAGGGCCCTGTCCCCCACTTTCCACATTAATAGGGCATCTCTTAAGATTCTCAACGGGTCATTTCTGAAAATGTCATTTGGGACCCACCTTGGATTTCCCTCCAGCTTTGCTGGGTGCCGTGAATGTGAGTCATGATTGACAGTCCTTCTGATTTCCCCACCTCCCTTACCTTCCCCACTCCATCCCAGCCCTGGAACCATCCTAGACTTGGGCCCCCAGTAACCCAGCCTTGGGCCCCCTGTAACTCTCCTGATGGGAATCACATTGGTGTTGGGCTAGTGAGTGGGGGTGGCGGGGGAGATAATTATAATTCGTGTCCAGAGGCTGGACTCAGCTGTGCTCTGGGAGACAGGAAAAAGGCCCCAGGCCCCGGGATTTGCCTTTGCCAAGCTCATTCGGCTAGGTGGGAGAGGAGCGGAGGACACAGGTGACAGCTGGGACTGAGGAAGCCCTCGGTGTGGGCAGCAGAATGAGGTTGGCAGGCGGGGACACAGAGAAGCTTCCTGGTGAAGGCAGGGCCCTGGAATATCAATCATGAAATCCAAACTCCTGTCTTGTTCAGTGTTACGAGCTTCTCGTTTCCTAGATGGGCGCTTCCAATCTGCCTCCCAGGCTTTCTCTCAGCCCTTGCCAATCTGCCTCCTTGCCCCTCTCCCCACGGGAACCCCAGTCTTCACACTCCTGTGTTGCCTTCGCAGGGCCCTGGGCCTTGCCTCCCAGCTGGCTGTGTAACCCAGAGCCCGTGCCCACTGATCGAGAGGCTGCAGGGCACCCAGGAGACACGGTGCCAGCGCTCAGCCAGGTTGGGGAGCCTGTGATCCCATGAATCAGGACGCTGCCGAGGAGCAGGTCAGGGTGCAGGAAGCTGCATTTGGAGCAGGGTGGAGGCAGAGGGCAGGATGGATGAAAGCTTCTCTGGGTGATTGGGTCACGTGGCCGCACGCCTCACTATGCGCCTTCCCCTGCTGCGTGCTGTACGTGTTTTCTAGATGAGGAAGCTAAGGCTCGGGGTG